GAGGGCCTAGTAAAGAAAATGACAAGATCAGCAGCAAAAATAATTAAGATCATCAAAAGATCACAACTCAGGATGTCCCCAGTTCAAAAATGTATCCTGGTAGCTTTGATATGTAGATGGATCACCAGATGGCCTTGGGGCAAATGAGAGGCAGTCAATATATTGCTGATAGCGTACAAGTGGAATCTAGGCCAATTGACCAGCGGTGGGCAAGGGTGTACATAGCCCTATAGACTTGTCTTGTATATTGGGTATAGTATTCCAGTCAGCAATATCTATAGCACAGTCCAGTTTCGGCCAAGAGGCAGAAAGAGACAGTCTACCCACTGGCATTTTTTCTACTATTATTGTACTTTATATGTTGCAGTTTGCATTAATGAATAAGCCTTGGTACTAAGAAATACAACACCTAAATCTAAATACTTTACATCTGAATGCTTTTCCCAATATTTTTTTTATCATATCAGGTCAGGAGGAGGCAGAATGCAACCGTATATATTGCAGTTTCTTACAAAATGAGTACAGCGATGAGCTGTTGTATCTCAGTGTATCTCAGTGTACAGTCAGCCTGTTCACTTTCCTGCAGCCACCTGCCTGTTCTTTGTGTTTGTGGAATTATTATCTGTCCCACTGGTAAGACGCTGTGTGATTCTGTCATTATAGTAAGACAGCCAGAAAAATGTCCTGATGGTTAAATAAGTCCATGGCTTTCACTATTCTATTCCTCCTATAAAAAAACAACATTTTCAAAAAATAAAACTCATAAGTTTTAAAGCGGTATTAAACCCAAAACCAAAAATCTAATATATTGCAACTTACCAGTAATTATAGTCAGGGGCGGACTGACAACTCATGGGGCCCCCGGGCAATAGGGGATCATGGGGCCCCTGTGTCCTTGCCCAAACTCAAAAAAGCATATGAAAAAGGTACCAGAGGCATCTCATGGGGCCCCCTACTGACCCCGGGCCCTTGGGCAGTGCCCGAGTTTTCAAATGGTCAGTCCGCCCCTGATTATAGTAGATGTGGTGGCTGCTTCATTTTTTTTTTTTTAGGCTTTTTTACCTCTGTTTTCACCGGTGATCTGGACAGTAGCACACCTCCTGTATTACTGTGTTAAAGTGTTAACCCTGTGCTCCTTCATCCAGAGTGGAGGTACTCTACAGTGTAGAGTACCTCCACTCTGGATGAAGGAGCACAGGGTTAACGCATTAACACTTGTTAGGCACACACTTAACCCCTTGATTATCCCTAGATGCTAACCACTTGCCAGCCAGTGTCATTACTACAATGACAGTGTATAGTATTATCACTGATCATTGTATTAGTGTCATTGGTGATGTCAGTGTCAGTTAGACTATCCACGAGAAATGCGTTGGTGCAGGTCCAATATCCCCTGGAGGTCAACAATCGGGAAAACAGGCCACTTGCATAAGTCCAATAGTATTTTCTGGGGGCATCAATTAGGGCAAGCCTTCTAGGAAAGGGAGGAAGCAATCTCCAAAGAATTCCATGCAAAGAAAAGTAGAAGACTGCCTGATGTGCCTGTTATCATTCATCTATCAAGTGAGTGCAATTTATATTGCCTATTGTGAATAAATGTTTACAATCTACAGTCAGTGGCACCTTCTTCTAATTTTCTTCAGTTAGTCTATCTCCCACCCAGTGTACATTAGAGTCAGATTGCCCGCCGCACAGAACCACTATAAGTCGCCGATTACTGCTATTTCTAGTATTAAAAAATAAATTCATAAATAACAAAATCCAGTATATATACTATCATTTGTAGATGCTATAACTTTCACAAAAAACAATCTATATACACTTATTGGAATTTTTTTTTTTACCAAATAAATGTAGCAGAATACATTTTGGACTAAATTTATGAAAAAAATTAGATTTTTTTTTATTGCATATATTTTATTATTATTACATCGAGTTTATATAGCGCCAAAGGGTTTGCTCAGCGCTGTACAATAGGGGGGACAATACATGGCACAGTACAACAAAAACAGACAGCGTACTAGGGGTAAGAGGGGTAATATATTTTAGAACAGAATGTTATAATAAAAATATATTCATATAATAAAAAATAAAAATCCAGTGGTGATCATATACCACCAAAATAAAGCTTTTTTTTGTGTGGAAAAAATTATATAAATTGAATTTGGGTACAGTGTTGCATGACCGCGCAAATACCAGTTAAAAACCTTTAATTCTCTACAAAGGGTTCCCAGAACAACAAGATTAACACTGTGTGACAGTATGAACGGCGAGGTGATCAATGGACGCTATGGGGGTTATTTACTAAAGCTAGAAAGTATGAAATCTGGTGCAACTCTGCATAGAAACCAATCAGCCTCCATGTTTTATTGCCAACGTTTAATTAAACAAGCTGAAGTTGGAAGCTGATTGGCTACCATGCACACTTTCACCAGGTTCTGAGTGCTCCAGTTTTAGTAAATCTCCCCCTATGTGCCACCTCGCATGCAATCATACTTGGGAGTGTAAGGTGAAATCCACTCCGGGTTTTCTGGGCCACTATGGCAGAGGTGGTTCCGGACCTGATTTTGTGGTCCACTAATGACCACCAGCAGGTGCTATAAAAAAAGGCAGGGCTGGAGCAAGGAGCCGCTCCTGGCCTGGGACTCAGAGAGCGGCGTATGAAGGTGTGGCTTATAGCAACAAGAAAAAGGTTGCTTATTGTTTTGTTTTTGGGTGACAGGAAGAAGCCCTTCACCTGTGAGAGAGGAAAAATCCGATGTTTAGTTAGTGCCTGGATAGCGAGGGTTTATTATTGCTGTTTTCTTTGTTTTGATATTTTGCAAACCTTTTTAAATAAAACTGACAACCAGTCAGAATTTGAAGAAAAACCTGCTGTGCGGCCTACCTTTTTTTCCCAGGGAAGGTGATCCCCACCTGAGCTAACCCCACAACTGACAACAAAGGCACAGCGCTGTTCTAACATGGAATACAAATGTTGATATGGCAAGAAAATGATTAATATCAGTGTAGTCACAATGGCACTGTCAGGGATCGGGGTGTGACCAGAAATGTGTGGACTGACACAGGGAAGTAGCAGGCTTCAGGAAAACAGGCGTAGTCAGGGCTGGAGAGGTGGAATGGTTAGGCGGGCCGTAAGGTACTGTCAGGCACCGCCCGGCGGGATCTCTAGTGACCCACAGACCAGGATTCCCCAGAGCGCGGAGTCTAAGCCCCAGTCTGCCTTTTCACCAGAGCCCCTGATGGTGTTGGATGGACTTGGCGCAGGACTGAGACCAGGTCGCGGCCCCTGAGTGCACCCAACTGTGGTAGAGGGGTCCGCCGAGGGTATGTACCGGGGGAAACCCTGATGTGAAGGGGCTGGCAGGTTTGGACAACGTGCGGGCACTGAGGTACCGGAGGAGCAGGCAGAGAATAGTCAGGGTCACAAGCCGGGTTCAGTAACTCACGGGCAGCGCGGTACAGAGGATCAGGCAGAAGGATGGGCAGGCAAGCCAGGGGTTCAACAGGAGATGGTCAGCAACTAGGCAGATAGGCAGGAACACAGGATACCAGGTACAGGGACTCATGGGAAACATACACCAAGGCCATGATCACAGGCCTGGTCCTACTTAAATACACCTCCTGCAATCAGCTTCAGCTGATGGCTGACTGCAGGAGTGAGCTTCTGGTTGCTGAGAGCACCCGCTGATCAGCCCTGGTACTGCAGCTCACACGGCAGGTGAGTCCCACCACCAGTGCTGAGTCCATTCCTGACAGGCACAGTCTTAATAAACATATAATCCCACTAGTAATGGAAAAAAAGTGACAGTAGTGCATATACATAAAAGTGACCACTTAGTGCTAAAGTGTCCAAGTCTATGTATAAATGAATGACGTATGTGATCCGCTGTGCGTCTTCTGGTGATCAAATATTCGAATTATACACTCACCAGATTCATAATTCCAATATGCATATAGAAACATGTATCATCTCCATGGTTCAGTGGAATCGTCTTATGGGTACGTCTACCATCTCTGGGCTTCCTTCTGGGTACTTCTATCCTTTTATGGGGTTCCCTCTGGATCATCCAGTTGGATACTGCACCCCTGGACCCCCTTCCCTGAGGACTCTGTGGGTGATGCACGCAGCAAGAGTCCCAAGAAAGGATGCCAGAATGGTGTGATATCGTTTTAAATGAAATTTATTGATCCATAGTAGACATAGATAGGTATAGAAAAACACTGACCATGAACAGATTAAAGATGTCTGCCGGCCCATATAGGGACACGGCGGCGTGACGTCTGGACTCCGCAGCTCTTTCCATTACGCGTTTCGTGCTAAATGCACGTATTCATAGGGGGTGTGCTAGCCAGGAGTCAGACGTCTAGTATCTCCAATTTATAACCTGTGAATGGCGCACCTGCCTTCCGTGGTTCAGCCTGGTGCCTCGGCACCCGCACTTCAGCCTGAGGTCTGTACCCAGCCTGATGCCTGTATTCAGCCTGATGCCTGTACCCAGCCTGATGCCTGTATTCAGCCTGATGCCTGTACTCAGCCTGATGCCTCTACTCAGCCTGATGCCTCTACTCAGCCTGATGCCTGTACTCAGCCTGATGCCTGTACTCAGCCTGATGCCTCTACTCAGCCTGATGCCTCTACTCAGCCTGATGCCTCTACTCAGTATGATGCCTCCACTCAGCCTGATGCCTCCACTCAGCCTGATGCCTCCCCTCAGCCTGATGCCTCCCCTCAGCCTGATGCCTCCACTCAGCCTGATGCCGCGGTGCCCGCTGGCGAGCCAAATGACCTGATGCCTGGTGACCCAGTGCCCGCTGTCATACCTGGTGACCCGATGCCTGCTGTCGAGCCACACAATCCGGTACCTGATGACCCGGTGCCCGCTGTCGTGCCAATTGACTCAGAGCCCACGGTCGTGCCTGGTGACTTGGTGCCCACTGTCTTGCCAGATGACGCGGTGCCCGCTGTTGAGCCAAATGACCTGATGCCTGGTGACCCGATGCCCGCTGTCCAGCCAGACGATCCAATGTCTGACCCAGTGCCCGCGGTCATACGAGTTGACTCGGAGCCCACTGCCTTGCCAGATGACGCGGTGCCCGCTGTCAAGCCAAATGACCTGATGCCTGGTGACCCGATGCCCGCTGTCCAGCCAGACGATCCAATGTCTGACCCAGTGCCCGCGGTCACGCCAGTTGACTCGGAGCCCACTGCCTTGCCAGATGACGCGGTGCCCACTGTCGAGCCAAATGACCTGATGCCTGGTGACCCGATGCCCGCTGTCCAGCCAGACGATCCAATGTCTGACCCAGTGCCCGCGGTCCTGCCAGTTGACTCGGAGCCCACTGCCTTGCCAGATGACGCGGTGCCCGCTGTCGAGCCAAATGACCTGATGCCTGGTGACCCGATGCCCGCTGTCCAGCCAGACGATCCATTATCTGACCCAGTGCCAGCGGTCATGCCAGTTGACTCGGAGCCCACTTTCATGCCTGGTGACTCGGTGCTTGTCGCTCCGCCTGGGGGCCCGAGACCTTCGCTCCGCCTGGGGGTCCGGCGCCCACCGCTCCACCTGGGGGCCCGAGACCTGTCGCTTCGCCTGGGGGTCCGGCGCCCACCGCTCCGCCTGGGGGCCCGAGACCTGTCGCTCCACCTAGGGGTCCAGCGCCCGCCGCTCCGCCTGGGGGCCCAAGACCTGTCGCTCCGCCTGGGGGTCCGGCGCCCGCCGCTCCACCTGGGGGCCCAAGACCTGTTGCTGCCTGCCTGGGGGTCCAGCGCCCGCCGCTCCGCCTGGGGGCCCGATGCCTGTCGCTCCGCCTGGGGTCCCGGCGCCCGCCGCTCCGCCTGGGGGGGCCCGGGGCCTGCTGCTCCGCCTGGTGGCCCGCTGCCTGCTGCCTCGCCTGGTGATCCGATGTGCCTCTGCCCGGAGTCCAGCCCGATGTGCCTCTGCCCGGAGTCCAGCCCGATGTGCCTCTGCCCGAAGTCCAGCCCGATGTGCCTCTGCCCGGAGTCCAGCCCGATGTGCCTCTGCCCGGAGTCCAGCCCGATGTGCCTCTGCCCGGAGTCCAGCCCGATGTGCCACTGCCCGGAGTCCTGCCCGATGTGCCGCTGCCCGGAGTCCTGCCCGATGTGCCGCTGCCCGGAGTCCTGCCCGGTGTGCCGCTGCCCGGAGTCCTGCCCGATGTGCCGCTGCCCGGTGTGCCGCTGCCCGATGTGCCTCTGCCCGGTGTTCTGCCCGGTGTGCCTCTGCCCGGTGTGCCGCTGCCTGATGGGCCGCTGCCCGGAGTCCTGCCCAGTGTGCCGCTGCCCGGCCCGGAGTCCTGCCCGGTGTGCCAGTCTTTGATATTACCAGACCCGAGCGGTGGAACATTTTGCCCAGCTAGGACTGTTTGGAGCGTCCTGAGGCCGCTCCTTGAGGGGGGGGTACTGTCAGGAATGGACTGGCCAGCAATGGTGGGACTCACCTGCCTTATGAGCTGCAGTACCAGGGCTGGCCAGCGGGTGCTCCCAGCAATCAGAGACTCAACCTTGCAGCCAGCTAAACACCTGAAACTGCTTTATACTGGTGTATTTAAGGGATGGCCAGACCTGCAGACTCTGCCTTGGTGTGTGGTTTTCCTGGGCCCTGTATCTGCATCCTGTTCCTGTCTTGTTGCTGACCCTGCCTGATCTGCACCTCTGCTGACTTCTCCTGCTCTGACCCCGGCTCGTTCCTGACCATCCCTCTGCCTGACCCTCTGTACCACGCTGCCCGCTACCTGCTGAACCTGGCTTGTGACCCCGACCATTCTCCGCTTGCTCCCCCTGTACCTACCTGCCCGATTGATATTGACCCGGCCTGCCTGACGACGCTTGCATTGTATGTACGGTTATCTGTGGGTGGTTGGTTTGGTTTGTTTGCACTGTGTTATGTTTTAGTATTGCACTGCGTTTATGTTTGTATTGTTAGTGTTAATAAATTATATTGTTTATAATATATCTGAAGTCTGCGTTTCCCTGCGTCAGTCACACACCTCTGGTCATACCCGGGAGCCCTGACAGCCAGAAAGGTGTGATATCGTTTTAAATGAAATTTATTGATCCATAGTAGACATAGATAGGTATAGAAAAACACTGACCATGAACAGATTAAAGATGGCCGCCAGCCCAAATAGGGACACGGCGGCGTGATGTCTGGACTCCGCAGCTCTTTCCCTTACGTGTTTCATGCTAAATGCACGTATTCATAGGGGGGTGTGCTAGCGAGGAGTCAGACGTCTAAATCTCCAATTTATAGCCTGTGAATGGCGCACATGTAGTCGCGTCCGCCATTTTGCCAGCTATTTCGCGCATGCGCGGTATGGCTGGCGCCACAATGTCCGCTATTTTATGCGCGTGCGTGCGCCGTGAATTGGCGCCATTTTATTGTGGTCCCAGCCAACTCATGTTTTCGATTTTTGCACGCAATCAGGTCTACCCGATACCTATACCTCATACCCAAGAGGACTCAATGTAGAGTTCGATATCAATTGTTTTATTGACAATAGTTAATATTATCCATGGAGTTTTAGATTTATTTTATTCACTCTTGCCCACCATAGTTTTATCATAGCTATTCTATTCTACATCGTTATGATTTCAGATTTTAGATTTTATCTATTTACATCCCTATATTAACCCTTTTACTTAGAGTTTTTATGTCTCTTTATCTATAATTCAAGATTTATATATGCTTAGCTATTCTATTCTATTTAGAGATTTTGTTCCTTATGCTTATTATATGATTATATTTACCTTTATGGTTTATAGACTGATCATGATTTTAATACTGTATATGTTTTATCCGTTCTGTATTTATTGACGGTTATTACTGATATTCACATCTGCAACATACTTGGGCCGGCAGACATCTTTAATCTGTTCATGGTCAGTGTTTTTCTATACCTATCTATGTCTACTATGGATCAATAAAATTTCATTTAAAACGATATCACACCATTCTGGCATCCTTTCTTGGGACTCTTGCTGCGTGCATCACCCACAGAGTCCTCAGGGAAGGGGGTCCAGGGGTGCAGTATCCAACTGGATGATCCAGAGGGAACCCCATAAAAGGATAGAAGTACCCAGAAGGAAGCCCAGAGATGGTAGACGTACCCATAAGACGATTCCACTGAACCATGGAGATGATACATGTTTCTATATGCATATTGGAATTATGCATCTGAGGGGAGGCATCAGGCTGAGTGGAGGGCATCAGGCTGAGTGGAGGCATCAGGCTGAGTAGAGGCATCAGGCTGAGTAGAGGCATCAGGCTGAGTAGAGGCATCAGGCTGAGTAGAGGGATCAGGCTGAGTAGAGGCATCAGGCTGGGTAGAGGCATCAGGGCTGAGTACAGGCATCAGGCTGAGTAGAGGCATCAGGCTGAGTAGAGGGCATCAGGCTGAGTACAGGCATCAGGCTGAATACAGGCATCAGGCTGGGTACAGGCATCAGGCTGAATACAGGCATCAGGCTGGGTACAGACCTCAGGCTGAAGTGCGGGTGCCGAGGCACCAGGCTGAACCACGGAAGGCAGGTTCTCAGACGCAGGCTCACCGGTTTGGATACTGGCAGGATGGTATTGGTTGGAAAGAATTTTAGCTTTTTTCTGGTTTTAACTACTGGAGCACTGCAAGTAAACGTAGGTCTGAAAACGAATGGAGCAGCTGGAGACAGAGAAGAGCTGGAGGATGGAACAGGGGAGGGAGCAGTTGCTACAGAGGGCTTTTTTGCAGGGTTAAAGGCAGGCTAGGTGCAGCGAGTGGGAACAGGGTACTGACATGCGGTAGATAGCAGGGCAGGAGGAGCTGTTGGGAATGCAGGAATAGAGCTTTGAGGAAATAGATTTGAAGCAGGACTGGGTTTTTGTAAGCTGACTGAGGCTGGGTGCAACAAATCTGTCCATGTCTGCAGTATGGGTTGAACAAAGCTGAGCTTACACAAAGCCTGTCTGACCAAAGACTGCACTGCGTTTATATAATCTCTTAATACCTGTGGTGAACATGCAGCATAATGCTCCAGAAAGTAATCCACATCATCCTCTAATAACCATACCAGGGACTCTACCTGGTCGGCACTAAATGGTGGCAAAAATTCATCCCTGCATTCGGGGGTACCAGATGAAACCAACTCCGCACAAATCTGAATCAATGGCTGCACCTCAGAGAATTCTGTGCCCTGATCTACTAGAACATGAGCGAGCCGTATACATTCTAGCAGTTGATCCCGGGGATACTCCTTCAGAGTCTGATAAGCATACTCTCTGTCATCAAACACTAGCAGATATAAATACTCAACCTCATCAAGATCCATCCTTCCCATCAACAAACCCAGATGGCTTCCCTGTGCAGCCACTTCTGGTCAGGATTGGCCTTGGTGTAATGTCAGGGCTCCCGGGGTATGACCAGAGGTGTGTGACTGACGCAGGGAAACGCAGACTTCAGATATATTATAAACAATATAATTTATTAACACTAACAATACAAACATAAACGCAGTGCAATACTAAAACATAACACAGTGCAAACAAACCAAACCAACCACCCACAGATAACCGTACATACAATGCAAGCGTCGTCAGGCAGGCCGGGTCAATATCAATCGGGCAGGTAGGTACAGGGGGAGCAAGCGGAGAATGGTCGGGGTCACAAGCCAGGTTCAGGAGGTAGCGGGCAGCGTGGTACAGAGGGTCAGGCAGAGGGATGGTCAGGAACGAGCCGGGGTCAGAGCAGGAGAAGTCAGCAGAGGTGAAGATCAGGCAGGGTCAGCAACAAGACAGGAACAGGATGCAGATACAGGGCCCAGGAAAACCACACACCAAGGCAGAGTCTGCAGGTCTGGCCATCCCTTAAATACACCAGTATAAGCAGTTTCAGGTGTTTAGCTGGCTGCAAGGTTGAGTCTCTGATTGCTGGGAGCACCCGCTGGCCAGCCCTGGTACTGCAGCTCATAAGGCAGGTGAGTCCCACCATTGCTGGCCAGTCCATTCCTGACACTGGCATTCTTTCTTGGGACTCTTGCTGCGTCCATCACCCACAGAGTCCTCAGGGAAGGGAGTCCAGAGGTGCAGTATCCAACCGGATGATCCAGAGGGAACCCCATAAAAGGATAGAAGTACCCAGAGGGAAGCCCAGAGATGGTAGACGTACCCATAAGACGATTCCACTGAACCATGGAGATAATACATGTTTCTATATGCATATTGGAATTATGCATCTGGTGAGTGTATAATTCGAATATTTGATCACCAGAAGACGCACAGCGGATCACATACGTCATTCATTTATACATAGACTTTGACACTTTAGCACTAAGTGGTCACTTTTTTTCCATTACTAGTGGGATTATATGTTTATTAAGACTGTGCCATTGTGACTACACTGATATTAATAATTTTCTTGCCATATCAACATTCGTATTCCATGTTAGAACAGCGCTGCGCCTTTGTTGTCAGTTTGGTTAAGAGAGGTTCTTTGGTGCCTTTTCGGTGTACAGCAGCTTGAATTTTAGCGCTTACTTTTACCTTCTTTGCACATTATTAACAATATTAACACTGTCCATTAATTGTAGAATAGTAAAATATATATTTTAATATAAATAATAAGAAAGATACAAAACAAATGAAAAAAATACCCTTAACCAGTATAGTTTCTCTTTAAATAACTTGCAATGTAAAAAAAATAATTAACCCGGGAACTATTTCTAGCATTTTCGTGAAAATCTTTTAAAAAAAATCTCACATCTTGCCAATAACAAGCGTTCCAGCAAAAGCTCAGGAGAGAGTCTATTGCAAACTTTAAACTTAGTTTCTGAGTTTAATTGTTCCTCCTGGCCAGTATTAAAGTTGGATAGTTTTCAGAATCAGCACTGCTGTGAAAATGTAATTTCACAAATTGTCATGTTTGCATTTGTCTACACTGCAGAGTGCAAGGAAATGACATGTAAGACAAGCAAATCCTATTAGCCAATTATTCCAATGCTGAAACAAGGTTTCAATCATCCAGGCTTAGATTATATGGCAAATTTCACCCTAAACTAAATATTTGGCTCTGGTTCATTCAGACAGGACTGCACATACTTAAACACTTTGGCCCTGTTCACACCTATGTGTGGTCCTTACAGCAAATACTGCAATGCATTTTTGAGGTG